CCAATATATGATTGCAAAACGGTGGGGTTATCTGATTCTCATTTGATTTAACTCAAGTGATAGAACTTCTTTACATTTTAAAAACTCTGATACTAATGACATTATAATGTGTTTTCATCAAATGTCTTGAAAACAAGTTAAAAATAAGTTTCTTAACAATATGATTCATTTTTCTTTCTAATAAAATCATTCAAAATGCCACACACCCATTTTGGGAAAAAAAAGCTCCTTCTATCTGACAATCAGTGAAGAAATTATATAAATGAAACAGTTCTGGTCCAGTCCAGGTCTGGACTGACTCATGACCAAATCACATGGTGAACTGACAGTAGTAGTAAGTGAGGTGTGTATTATTGGTTATCATCACAATGTACAATGATAACTAATATGTTATCATATAAATGAGAAGTGAAGTTTTGAAAAATATAAAAAATTGCTGGCAAAGAAGCAATTAACAACAGCTCTGAGAAAAAAGAAAGAATGAGAACATGGACATGGACCAATGTTATTACTCTGAGGAAGCTTGTGTAGTATTGTAGTGTTCCACATTGATTTTTGTTCCATTAGCTTAAATAAAAATCGTAAGAGACACCTGAGCTCAGTCCAAAGCACACCAGTAGAGAACCATTTCTATAGAGAGCATGTTATAAACAGCGCAGAGGGGGACCACAAACCTTGTCATTGACACAACTGTCTGAGTGAGCGTGTGTCTGTGTGTGTATGTCTGTGTCTGTGTGTGTATGCCTGCCAGCTCCCAGTCTAGCGCTATTGTCTAACAAGGTCTAATTAGCACTATGGCACAATGAATTAGCATAATTATGCAAACAGGGCTCCGCTAAAGGCTTGGCACAAGGGGAGGCTACGGGGGGCACCTATTACAACACACACACATGCACGCACATATGCGTGCACACACACCCACACACATACACACAGTCACTAAGAACACTTAGACACTACATGCAACACATTAAACACGCATACATGACTGTGATAGATCCACTGGATACAGACAACACACACACCTGTCCAACACGGCATGTACAGTGATGATTGGCTGTTACCTATGCTGACATTTATTCTCTCTTTACAAATACATCATCCTGCCACAAACACTCCCCATACCATGACAAACGTCATATAGACACACAGAAATGACCAGCTAAACCCCCCCCACACACACACAAACACACACACACACACACACACACACAAACACACACACACACACACACAAACACACAAACACACACACACACACACACACAAACACACAAACACACACACACAAACACACAAACACACACACACACCACACACTGCCCTCCCTCTCAACACTCAAACATTCTGGGCTTATAGTATTTACCAGCAGGGGTGATAGGTGAAGTCTGTGGGAGATAATAGGATGACTGAGAGGCTGAAAGGCTAGTAGCCATTCAGACAATGACAGCTGTAGTGAAGAAGGCTCTATTAAGCTTCATTAGGATGCTTTGCTCTTGATTACAAACATGCACACAAAGACACACTAATGCAGGAAGAGGGAAAGCATTGCTCTAAATCAGACTGAGCTTGACTGCTTCTATGGCTTCCAGTGGAGGATTCCAAACACTAAAACATGCAGCAAAGATAATGTACTCGTGTCTGTGTGTGTGTATATATGTGTGTGTGTATGTGCACACCGGTCTGTCACTGTGACCTTTGTCTGCAATGTGAACCCAACAAGTAACCCCACAGCCCAACAAGCCCTCTTACCAAAAGCCCTGCAATGTCAACAAGCTCTACCCTCTCAAACACACACACATGCACACACCACCTCTGATGCATTCTTAGTCACCAAACCCCAAGGGCCTGTATTGTGTTCTAAAATCCTGATCCCTAGCAGGAAACAAGCACCCTTAAAACCCCAAACAACGCCTGCACAAAGCTCTCTTACGATTACAAGCCCCCACTGTCAGCTAAAGAACCAGGAGGGTTGGAAGTTCAGAGTTCAAATAGTTCAAAGTGATCAAGACCAGTCTGAAATAGGCCCGATCATTCATTGACAACATACCATAATGAGTTACAAAGGTAACTACAAATGACCTTTGGATGACCACCAGAGGGGGTGATTTCTACTTGATAACTCATCAAGTGCAAATATAAAAGAAAAGAGCAGCAATATAACAAAAATGTCCTCATAGAAACTGTTTTCAAAAATAATTTGTCTATGTACTTCAAATACTTATTTAAAGAAGTAATTGAAAGTCATATTTTCACCTCGTGCATCAACAATTAAAATAAAATCTGCAAAGTTTTTTTCCTCCATTCAATGCGTAAATTTTCTACATAGGCTCCTGATTTCCTAAATTACTTTCTCTCACTGTGATTATGACACGCCATGTGATCAAAGCTGGTACTGAGTATGCTCAGATCCCTTGAGATCCACTCAGTATTAGACATATTGACACAAAGACCCATGACAAACAGCAGTAAAACGAAACTGTACCAGACACGATTAGAGTGAATATAATATGGACCTCCCAGTCCTGTGTAGTAAGTAGGTTCCTCAGAGAAGTCATTAAAGCCTTCATCTGGGTTTGTGAATTTGACTTTTTTTACTTTTTGCTTTTATTTCTTTCTGCAAAATTAAGTATTTTTGTATATGTGCATGCTCTGTCTTACAGTATATAATGATTTACACAGGGTAATGGGTTATAAATTATGCCAGTACCCTCCATTAACCAACCCATGTATGTGGTTCTATTTGGGCTTCTGCAAAAATAATACAATGCTTATTGAACTGGTCAGAAGTGCACTGATATCCCAGATATTCCAAGCAGTATGTTGTCTGAGTCCTCTCAGTGACATTATACCAGCTCAACATACACTCTCCATTTCTTAAAACGTCTTCATTGAAACTCCTTGCTTTCTCCTCTGGTCTTGAAATGAAACCATTGACTCCAGCTTATCGTCACCTTAAGAAACAACATATTGTTCACATACGTGCACAGTGGTGGGACAAACACAATAACCGGCAGAGAGGGTCATGCTGAGAGGGGGTAGCAATTTTAAGCTGAGTCCACACATTTTGGAGGCAGTGAGCTAATCCACCCAGGCTTTTTAGCCTGTTATTCATGAAGACAAGGACCTCGAGGATTTGGGCTTGTCCACACCTCAGGGGTGGGGGATTATCAAGGTAGCAGGAAAGGTGAAGGGGTTGTGATGGTGGGCAAAGTGAATGTGTTTATTAAGACTGTGTAGATTTTTGCATGCATAAGTGTGTGGCTTTGTGAGGAGCACACATAAGTAGGAATGTGTGAGTGTTTGTGTATTTAGAGGGGATTCTCTCTGACTCCCACCCCCAAAAATATACCCCTGAGCTCTGACAGGGTCACCTCTGTGCCTTTCAGAGCCTCCTCTCAACCAGTCCTAATTGATCTCACGCATTACTAGTCCCAAACATGGGATGGAGAAGAGGAGGGAGATGGCTGGCTCATTGTCTGTGGAATGAGGTCCCCTTTGCTAGTGGCCCTCCACTCCTTGCACACACACACACACACACACACACACACACACACACACACACACACACACACACACACACACACCCACATACACCCACAAAACACACACACACACACACTCACACACACACACTCCACCTCTGGCATGCCCACCCACCATCTCCCCCTTTCTCCTCCTCTATGCTCTCATCTCCGGCTGTGCTAATCCACCAGCCAAGTCAGGAACTCAGTTACCCATCTGGCCAAGCATGACTCCAGCTGGGAGGAGAGAGGGATAGAGGGGTGGAGGGAGGAAAGTGGAGAAATGGTAAGAAGGGGTAGATTGAGAGTGAGGAATGAGGGGGTATATTGTAAGCAGTCTGGAGATGAGAGGAGAATATCTTAATCAAGCTTTTATAGAAGAGGATCAGAAACACAGAAGAACAGAGATAATTAGATATTTGCAAATCACAAAGAGCAGCGTAGGCTGCTGGAGGGCCACAAGGCAAAAACACGATGACCTCTTCTTTAGATATCTACAAAGAAAAAAGTATTGATCCTATTGTCTACTTCTAAAGAAAGGGGATTATCCATTCTAGCAGTTTGGAATGGGAGCTACCACTGAGCTCTGTCATGACTTATATAGTCTGATCCCAGTGTGCAGTGAAGTAGCCTCTAGCCATGGCCTTCACCTCTGACCCTGACTCCTGTGGAGCCATCTGGCTGGTTAACTCTAACCCATGGCCTTCGCCATAACCCATCACATGCTGGTGAGGATGGATCCACACTGAAAGAGGCTCATAATGAATCGAAATGGATCACATCTAAGTATACTGACAGTGGAACAGGTCTGTGAAGCTAAATCCACATTTATACTATATGATTATAACTATTTGTAATCTCATTTTGAAACATACTTTGCCGGAGTTTCAAAAAGTACAGAGTGTGTGTGTGGCTGGCATGATGCATGTCTAGTTGAAATACCTCTATGACTGCTTTTACATTGCTAAAAAAACATAAGTACTAACTTAACAGAGTAAAACTGGATTAAACTCAACCAGAAGTAAACTCAGCCAAGCTTCATAAATGCTTCACAGATTGAAGGTCAGAATCAAGTGTGCAAATCCCTGTTTGAATCATGCTCTTTCCCTAGTCCCAAACCGCTCATCACTGTCTACTGAAGCAATAAGATGACTGCAATACACTCTCCTTCTAAAGGACATTTGAAGGTAGTTGGGAGGAATGAGTACATGATAAACCGCTGTAGAAGCCACACAAGAGACGGACTCCCATTCACAGAGAGAATCAAACCACCTGCATCAAACCATCAATCAAACACTAACAGCACACAACATGAGGCTAACCCAAAGTTGTAGTGTGTGTGCATGTGTGTCACAGATAAAAGCCAGGAAGCAGTGTGGGTAAAATGATCTCCACTGTGAACATGATCACATGCACATAAATCACACAGACACATTACAAATACAATGACTTTAGTCAGATAAAATATGTACTTACAGACATTACCAGTGTTGTCAAAACTGTTGAGCACTTCATTAACTCTAAGAGGCCCCAGGCTATCCCTGTGAGAAACAGAAATATAGGTACATCAGTCTGGGAAAGAACTATGTTGTGCATTTTCTTTTTACAAACAAAGAAACAAGACAAATAATCTTAATTACTATACTATAAAATATTTGTCACATTAGGAAATATATAAAAGATTATTATATATATCTTTGGTTTGAAGTTTAAACATGTTTTTAGATACTTTCCCTCCAGCCTCCAAAATCTGCTGCATTTTCTACTGTAATTTACAGTACTTGCATACATTAGTGGGAAATGTCTCTGAAAAACATCAAAGTTGCATTTAACCATTAATTCAGCATCATTTCAATCTCTATATTTCAACCTGTTTTAAGCCTTAACAACATGTTATGCAGTGTGGTTTGTTCTAGATTCACAACAAACCACAGATTCTATAGTTTTAGCTAATGTCATCATCATGCTCTTTTACCCTTGGGGATAAAAGCAGCATAACACTGTCTAACCTGGAACTTGTTCAATACTGACTTTTACCCAGCTCGTCTGATGTGCTGTGGTATCATGTAGTTGCTCCTTGTGTGGTGCACTGTCACCATGCAGCCACTGTGCCAGCATGAAACTAGAGCCTTATTTCCATTCAAGTGAACGTACCTGAGTAAGGCACTATATTCTGGAAAGTAGACACTTCTGTACTCCACCCACTGGTCATCTGAGGTATCACTGGGGTCTTGTGTCACAAGCCTTTTCCTGCTGAAGAGGTCGAACGTGGCGAACCTTCGAACAGATGCCTGTTTGACCTCTGGATTGTCCACCTGCTTCTGACGCAACACCTGTGAGAGTTGGGAGTTGAAATAACGGGTCAGTGAATTTTAATTTCCACAAAAAAACACATCCCTTAACTGTTAAATCTTCGTATGAGCTGAAAAGTCTTCAGAATTAATAAGTCTTGTTTTTCTGTTTTGCCTGTGTTACTTGTCAGTTCAACAGACAAGAGATCCTTCCTTAAGTAATAATATGCCATGGAGGTGAAGACATTTTAAACTAATTTTAGATTTCTCATTTTTATTGGACATGATTTGGTCTTCATTTGATGCAACAGTGAATTCAGACATCAAAAATTTCAATAACAATGTCATGTATTCCAGTTAACCAAAAGTTGAATGTACTTTCAGTCTATGATGTTGCAAACAGATTAAAACTGTACAGTTAAAATGCACAGATTTAATTTTCATCTTCTTATCCCCAACAAAACAGAACTCATTAAATCATATAAGTTCTATCTATCTATCTATCTATCTATCTATCTATCTATCTATCTATCTATCGTGGTGGAGTCCATGCACATGGCATGTATTACTGTCCCAGCAGGAAGAACTGCAGAATGCAAGAAGACCCACTGCAGGGAGCTTATGTTGTCAGACAAGTGTAACATTGGTATAATGACCATCTATGGAAAAAAAGTAAATGCCCTCCTTTTATAGCTACTGCTCATGTGAAAGGTTCTTGCACATTCATAGCTAGTGAGAGTCTGTGGCCAGAGGAGAGAGATAGATTTCTACTGGTCTAATCTACTCTGTAAAGCTACTTATACTATAGTTATAGCATAAGTTATAAGATACACAGTTTTATTATGAGTTATACTATATATCAAAGCAGATTAGAGTACTAATAAACCAACATCATTCAAAAACACCAGACTGTTGTCTACTGTGGCAGACAATCTGCATCAATTCCATAATTTTTAGATTATCAAACTGCAATGACATCTACATAAATCAGGTAGGGAAAGAAAAACAGTAAAATATGCCCTCCTCCATATTTCACACAGCTTGGACAAGGAATAAATGCTTGTTGAACTGTAATGTATAATTTTATGTCAGAGTTTAGACAAAATGAGGAAGAAAACATGAGAGGGTGAAAGACCGGTGACTACAATATGTTGCCTTCACTATTATTTTTCTAGTTATGCCAATAATGATCCATGGACCCAGGCCTCCACTGATGAGAGGTTTTTCCTTTTTTGGCTTGAATCAAAACTTTTGCTGTTCACAAACTTCTCACAAATCTATTGTAGGTAACATCATGTAGATACAAGACTCATGTAAATCCCAATCAATATGACCTTGTAACATCTGATTCAATGATTTGAAACACAAATGGGAAACACTGTAATTTGTTCTTTAAGGCAACAACAACAAGCTGCTGCTGTTAGTCTGTACTGGGAAAGATGACATCCTTAGATACAATATTGAAAAGTTTTATAAATGCATTTTATTGTTATAACAAATAAAATACTCAAAAAATCCGAAAGTAAATAAATGTGAACATATACTACTAATTAAAAAACTGTGTTGGTCCTGCACTGAACAATATTGAAACGACGAAACTATTTGCTAACTCCTGGTTATGAGGAACAAGTATTCTAACGGTAATACAACATTCAAATATGTCCAATGACACAGTTCACGCTGAATATTTAATACATTTTCAAAATATGTCCGCATAGTAAGTCTAAGACAATGAGAAAGGTTTGTGCTTGCTCGTACAACAATACCTGTCGTAGTAGAGTCCACCTGGCTCGGGCGACATCAGTAGCACCACAGGTCTCAGTCTGGGAGGTGTGGGAATCAGCTGCACAGGTGTCGTCATTAATATCTTTCCTCAAAGGCGAAGCCGGCTCGGTCTTTTCTTCAGCACCGGTGGAGTCCCTCTCCATTTTATCTTCGAAGTTACGAGCGGAAATAAAATTTTAAACAAATGTTCTGGCTGCAGAGCTGTCACAGTTATCGGTAGCAACGTGGCAATACAAAAATAGGGCTTTTTCCTTAAACTACACCAACGCAAAAATGATCACAGATATTGCTTGGCTGTAATCACCTGTTACACCCACAATGGATGCATGCTACTTCCGTACACTTTTGGCATTCAAGGCATAACAATGGATTGTCGAAACAACGATGTTCAGCGGCGGCATGAGATTTAAATGGTGCCGTCTTACTCAAATCATTTAACGTAATAATGATCATAGAGTACCTTAGAGTACTGGTTGGTCTTTGTGTCTGAGGATTTTTTTTATATATTCTATTGGAAATAACCACAATGCCATGTATAAGAGGGGTCAGAAGGGGCCCAACAACAAATTCATTGCTCCCTTCCACCTAAGACGTTAACACTTTGTAATGATGCGTAAAAACCTAAACCTTTATTTTACCGTAACCTTATCCCGAGCCCAGGAATCTCAATGCTTAGAATCTAATGCCACTTCTCGGTTACAAATTGGCGGCTGTACATGTCTGAATTTGATTATTTTAGTCTGGCACTGCCAGCTACGTCATCAACAGCGGGTTTTATTTATTTAACCAGGCACGTGCGTAGAATTTGCTCGCTGCTGTTGTCAACGTTTAGTAACGGCTGTATTAATTGATTGAAATAACGAAATAATAAATATTATAGGTTGAACTACATTCATCCTCTGAAACGTGTTTAATATCGTGGATATGACCGACCAGTGTATGGCGGTGACAGTTAGCTTCTTAAACCCACATAAACACAGGATAGCTGATATCAGTTCATTTAGCTGATTGACAGTTACACATTCGTAATGGCCGTTGCCTCCTCTCTGCTGTGTTCATCAGGTCGTCTCGTTACACCGTTTCGGTTACGACTTTGGGAGCTTGCTGGTTACAAACGGATAGCATGGCTCTCCTTGTCAGTCCATCGTTGTTACACGTCGGTAAGGGTGTTCAGCTAGCTTTAAAGATGCTGTGTTTACTCACCTTAAGCTCGGTGTAAGATTACTGACTGTTAAGATATCTCGTCGAAAAGTCATTCATTATTTAAAAATGGTGTCTTTTCACTAGGCTGACAAAACTAGTCTTGTACGGAGCCACAGATAAGGACATGGGGCTGAAATAGAGCCTCTTGGGATGTGGCTTACTGAGCTAACAGAGGAATAAACCACAGGGAATAGACACATAAATGCTTATACAGTATTACTAAGGCTCGAACTTTTTGTTTACGTTGTATATTGTAAATTAGCCAGGCAAGACTCCAATCATTATTTCCAAACATTCAACTTAAGTCTTCTGAGTAAAAATTTAGAATGATTTGAAATCAGCAAATTGTGTGAATTTAAAGTATAGGATGGAAACAGTAATTGTGTCATGTGCAAAATAGCACCCTGTTAAGTCAATAATTGGCAGATATCACAGCTTGCAAACACCAGCAAGAGTCTTTCTATTGTTGAATTTTAACCCACACTTCCTTGCATATACCTTGATGTTATGAGATTGTTCTGAAGAAGCTTCGGCTTTTCATTCCTTTAAGTATTTCATGGTGAATTTTGCTGTATGCTTTTGATCAGTGTCCTGTTATAGAAGCCAGCCTCTTTACACTTTCATTTTCTTGACTAGATTTACTTCTTTTCACTTCAACCAACAATCAACATTATCAATCAATCAACCCAGGGGTTCCCAAACTTTTGCATACAACTTACATAATAATAACTCTGTCAATCCTTAATAACCAAAGAAAATTTAGGATTTTTTAAACCATTGTGATGAATTTAGAGGTGGAAACAAGGCCATGGTTTCATATATAACTTACTCCCACTAAGTGCATTAAAATTTGGGAAATGAGCAGTGTCACAATAGATTACAAAAAAATCAATCAATCAAACTTTATTTGTATAGCACTTTTCATACAGGTTAGTGCAATTCAAAGTCCTTCACAAATGACCAATAAGGTAAAAAAGAAAATGACAAGCTGACAATGGCTTACAATGATAGATTTTAGAAAGAAAAAAATACACACTAGTTCACTGAGTGTTTGCAAGCTATAGTTCTCTTATTTCAGTGTCTTGCTCCATCCTCTACCACAGGAAACAAGAATCTTGATTGGAACAGCTATGGCCCTTACAATTTGAGCTTATAGTTACAGTCTTATAAAAGTCTTTCCATAATTAATAAAGCAGTTGTATTTCAGGACACTTCAAATTCATCATCTGATCAGTCCAGCTCTGGACTTGAGAGGTACAAGGACTTGCAGAAGTATTTCTACAGGAGATTGAAGGCAACATACCGCAGGTTCTCCAACATACCTGATTACTCAGTGGTAAGTCCTGCTTTAGGTTAGAACTAATTCATAGAGTTAAGCATCAACATTCATCCTAATTGAGTCAGAAACTAAAGGTATTTTACAATTCACTATAATTTCTCTTGTCACAGGTCTGTGGTCATCATCATGTGTACTTCATAGAAAGTGATGGCATCTACAGAATGGACAAGAGAGAGAGTAAGCAAGAAGCATGAATGTAGCTTGCCAACTAATGTTAACTACTTCATATCTTTTTTCCAATATAACCCTAATCTCATGTCTGCATCTAAAACTTAAGTGACATTCCCACTTTTGTGAACGACTCAGTTTCCTCTCCCCGTTTGTAGGAGATCTGGAGCCAGAGCAGGTGCTAAATCTAGGACAAGTCTCTGGAGGAGAGGAGGAGTCAGGACTTATGAATGGAGAGAAGAAGAAGCAGAGGTTTCAGTGGAGTGTCCAGAGAATACGTTTGTCCCCACAGGAAAAGCATCTTGCTGCCACACTAAAAACTAGTCACAGAGAAGCACCGAGGTGAATCAAACAGAACACAATTAAACATACAAAACACACTTTATTTGATAGCAGTGTTTTTTCTTGACAAAGTTACTGAATTAAAGAATAGATGATTGTGCTGTGGCAATGCAGGTGTGTGGTTGTGAGACTTGAAAGAAGAATTTCCCCTCATTTGGACCCCCCACACATTATACTCACACTGGACAAAGTCTTCACCTTTGGTATGTTTTAAATGTATATATAAAAAAAATTATTTCAGTAGCAATAGCAGTAAATCACCGGCTAAAATGAAAGGATATTTTTTGTGTCTGCATGGGTAAAGAGTGGGCCACAGATGAGACGCTGTTTTACACGACTCTTGAGGGTCTGCGTTGCAGCAGAGTGTTTCGTCTGGACCTGACCTGCAGTGGGAGCAGGATAACCTCTGTGTATGAGGAAACGCAGCCTGAGTAAGTGCAAGTAATTTGACATCTAAGCTGTCTCTCCTCCCACACCATCTCTAATTGAAACGCCACATTTCCCCAGTGTGTTTGTGGAGGTCGCCCTCTCCAGAGACCGACAGATACTGAGCATCAACTGCAACAGCAGGTCCAGTTCAGAGGTGATGCTAATTGATACAACAACAACCAATTTAGAGCCATTCCTGGTTCAGCCACGCCAGCTGAACCTCCTGTACCACATTGAGCACTGGAGGAGGAGGCTGATCATACTGGCTAATACAGGGCCAGGACAGGAATATCAGGTAGAGTGTGTACAACACATATATAAACACAAACAAACTGACGTGTTCTGTGTTTTAATCTTAAAATGTATTTTTTTGTTATTTCTCAAGTGAGGAGATTTATCCTTCTGTATGCTCACTAGGTGGTACAAGCCCCCCCCTCAGGGCCATCCATGGACTCCTGGGTGTCATTGTTAGCCCCTGGCCCTGGCACTGTTTTCAAAGACATGGATGTGGTTGCAGACCACTGCGTGCTGGCTGCAAGAACACTAGCCAATGAACTTGTCCTGATTGTGGTCCCACTGGCCCATCCCAAGAAAGCATACACTGTGCAGGTCAGTGTGTCAGAAAACTCTTTGAATTCTTCTTGTATTGTTTGCTGACTTCCTTGCTTGTTTGCATGCATGTTGCATGTTTTTATATATTATATTGTTTATATTGCGCTCTTATATGTCCATCTCTTATATTCCTACACTTGCTCCCAAGCTCCCCTCCTGGGCTTGTGCCATTGAAACCAAGAAAGCAGGCTTGGCAGACCAACGCAAAGTGTTAGAATTCCTGATCTCATCTCCAGTTCACCCACCGCTGCCCTTCTGTCTATACCCAGAGGATGGGCTCCTTTTATCAGGCACTGAAGATCGGTCGTCCCCAGAGAACCAGGGCAATTACACCACCATGCGCTTCGAAGCCTGCAGCCAAGTGAGAACTTGACATATAAGACACATGAACACACACTGACACAGTATCAGCAGAGAGGTAAACATTTTGAATCAAGACTCAATTGTCCACTGATACAGAAAGCAGCAGAACATCAGTGAACACTTAGGCAGGACCACACTACTTACCTCACCATTGCGTGACGGCTACTTCACTGAACTGCTGCAGTTTGCACGCAAGTGTGTCCACACCACCAGCATTGCTGCTGTGGCACTGCTACTGCCAGCTCTATCTTTCTACAATTAGTTTGTCTTTGGTAATAGTCACCAATAGTAAAATGTTTGATTTCATTTCATTATCGGAAAGTGAAAAGTTGTAACCAGAAATCAATCATACGATTTTTCAAATGTAGCTTAGTAATGAAGCTGCAGCCACATGGGTGCCAAAATGAAAACCAAGAGGGTTTGCAACTGTCATGCATAGGTGAGGCCCAGATCTCTCTGCCTCTCCTCTGTAGGATGGCACCCTGGTGCCAGTGACACTGTTTCATGCAGTACCTGTGGAGGGTTTGAGACAGGCGCCGCTGCTGGCCCATGTCTACGGAGCGTATGGCAGAGATCTCCACATGGAGTTCTCCCCAGAGAAAAGGCTGCTGCTGGAGCAGGGCTGGGCTCTGGCCTACTGCCACATCAGGTAACTTATCACCTCTCCAGCAGCCTAAAACTTACTTGATTAACTCAGCAGTTTATTTGCTCATTAGAGACATGCTTTATGTAAGTAATATTGATTGTATATTGATGTTGCTGCAGGAAATTGTTAGAAAATGTTTGCTAATCAAGTCTGGAATTCAAACTTTGTATTTTGTTATGTTGGTTACAGTGAATCTGTTCTTTACCTTTACACTTCCAGAGGTGGAGGAGAGCGGGGTCTGTCCTGGCAAAGACAGGGTCGTGAGGAGGGGAAGCAGAAAGGAGTGGAGGACCTTCAAGCCTGTCTCCACCACATCTTTTCCTCAGGAGTCTCCTCCCCTTCCCTCACCGCCCTCACAGCCTGCAGTGCTGGGGCTGTGCCAGTGGGAGCGCTGTGCAACAGACAGCCACACATGATGCGGGCTGTCACACTGCAAGTAAGATGTTAAATCACTGTAGATCTGTTTGTTGGTTTGCATGGTTTTTTTGGAGTGTATTACTTCTGTGAAGTGTTATTTTTATGTCCCAAGAACAAGAATATTAGGGACAGTGTCTTCCTCAAGGGAACTTAAACAGAGAGGATATTTGGGGTTAAAGGGTTAAATACAGGTTGTAAATAAATAGAAAAATACAGAAAGTCTCATTACTGGTCATTACACCACTGTGCCTCATGACATGAGATGACACACACCCCAAGCCATCTCTTTTCCTGTTTGCAGGCTCCTTTCCTGGATGTGTTGGGAACAATGGAGGATCCCAACCTGCCTCTAACTTTGGAGGATAGAGAAGAATGGGGGGACCCTGTAGAGAACCCAAAACACAGACTCAGCATCACCTCCTACTGTCCTCTTCACAACATTACTCCTCAGGTATGGAGGGGAAGATGTAGCTGTAGTTTTTTATGCATTGGTTTGAGAGAACTGTGTCATCCTTGTGTGTTACCATTCATACCCATGATTTCCTTTATTCACTTTGTTGTCTACTTTAAATGTCCACATCTTCATAGAATGTGGCATTTATTGTGGCTTGTGATTCTTCAGCTATCTTTACTGTGATGAAGATTTCGCTCTCTGAAATTCAGTTGGATTTTGGTTACCATGTAGTTTTACTCTCATTAAATTTGCCCTGCAAATTGGCCTGTAATGGTAGATAACATACAGTTAATTCGGACTATGTTGAAAACCCATTTTAAATTCCCATGGCCCACATTTTGGTCCAGAGCCAGAATATGAATAGCACTGGGTCAATTAATGGTTCTCAGGCGTTCTCTGAAATCTGCCCAGCATATGTATGACAGAAAAATATAGCTGAGGCCTTTGAAATGTTGATTTAGGGGACACTGAGGATCATTAATAACTAATAACTTTTGCTAAGTAGAGTAATAAAAACTAGGTTATCTAACTTTTGTGTGTGTTTGTGTGCACTTGTGCTTGTGTGCGAAAGCACTACCCATCCATGCTGCTAACAGCTTACAGAAGTGATGCCAGGGCCCCTTTGGCAGGTGTCCTCAAATACACAGAACAGCTGAAGAAAGCCATTCATACACACTTCACCATGAATCCAAAGTCAGGTACGTGCACACTTACACTCTCACACATATTATCACAACAGCTTAATCCCTTGTTGATCATGTAGATTCACATGTGTGCACCCATGCATGTTATTGTCCAAATATGTGTTTGAGTACAACTTTCCGTGGAGGGTGTGTTTGGCTGTGGGTACATTCCAGCGTAGATTTTCCACTTGTTCCACATTCTTTTAGATGTAATTTCTGCATCATCAGAGGTTTTAATAGTTCAGGGTCAACTCCCAATAGTAGTGTCAGTGTGCATGTCTTGAGAGGCAGCAGTAACAGATGTATAGTCGTCCGTCTGGGGAAAGTGCTATCACAATTTTAAGTTCATGACCAAAGTATAGCATAGGTCACCTTGTAGTACAGCATGTGTGTCTGAGTGAGTGTCAGCTAATTGCTCTCATTTCCCTGTAGACAGGCTCTTTCTCCCTCTCACTCATAATCTGCCTTCACCACATTGGTGGTACTCCTCTTTACACCCCTCTCTCTCGCACTGCCTCTACTCTTCTTGTTTCAAATGCACACATTATCTCTCTCTTTCACCCTCTCTCACTTTTCTGTTGTTCATACACACATTCACCAGGCAGCTTAAGTGTGTGTGTCTGTGTGTCTGTGTGTGTGTGTGTGTGTGTATATGTCTCCCTAATCTGTCTCTCTCTGTTCTCCGGAGTCTTTGATAAAGTGCTGATGGCATAGACACAGGCAGGCGGGTGGGCAGGCCCATTAGCATGGTAAAGAGATAGTGTATCAGAGCAAGAGATTAGACACCACAGACTGGGAGCTGTCAAGGTCAAGACCGCACTTGTGAAACAGCCAGTACCACAGAGACAGTGAGGGGGATAATACGGAGGAGGTAGAGAGGAGGGAGGGCAATATCAGATGGGAGCAAGAATGAATGAAAGGAGAATAAAGACAGTCAGAAGAGAGAGAGAGAGATAAGATTTGGGGCAACTGGACAGAGAGAGAAGGGGAGCAGAGAAAGTGGGCATACAAGAAGAAGACCAATGTCTGAGACAACATTTTAAACATTAGAGATCCACTTCTTCCCCAATCTGCCTTTGACCTCTGTCTCTGTCTTCTTCTGTCTTTTCGAATATAAACCAGCACCAAACATAGTTCTGAATATCCAACCTGGAGCAAATCACCTTGGACCAGAAGACTTCGAGGTGATGCTGGAGGAGGTAATGCACTTTTGAAGGGATATGCAACTCTGTAAAAGTTGAGCTTTTTTTTACATTTGTGCTTCCAAACATACCTACAAATTACACAACTAGCTCTATTTTCAGTTTTTCTTAAGTAAATTTGCTCATCTGCTGTTAAATCCACGGAAAATGCATATCCATGCTCTTCAGCGTGTGGGAAGTACCATGTTATAAGTTAAGCATTTTAAATTTAGCTTTAACTCTTTCCTCACATTGAAAATACAAACATTAGTTGAGAAATTTGACCTCTGTCCTTTCTCCCCAACACAGGAAGCCCTCAACCTAGCATTTCTATACTCAGAGCTGGGCCTGGACCCTCCTCGGTCTCAACGCAAGAGGAAGAGATAGCAAGGCTGTCAAGACGCAGTCGAACAACAATAACCCAACATCTACCATTACAGCCATGACAACTACGTTGACACAATGGTCCCAGTGAAAGAGAAGACAACATCAGCATTGAATGTATCTGCAATGAGCCTCTTTATTAGATGGCATACTGTAAACACCTTACAGAGGATACACCAAAGAAGAATCTTGATTATATAATTGCTACTGTGAAACTGTAATAACTGAATACCATCGTTCATTCATACTAACATTTATAAAGTATGTCGATGGCTCCCAAATAGCAGGCCTTCTCAGAGACATAGCACTGTTTGGGGTGGTTGGGATTAAACCGAGTGTGGGTAGAATACTGAATCACCAAACCCTCTCCTGCTTCTGTCAGGATATGAGACTTTTTTATCACCTTGCCATCGTTGGCTTGGTTTGTGCTCATCAGCACTTCCAATTGGTCTGGTAACTCACTAATGGAGGAGAGATCTGTGATGGCAGATTCTTTGCCAAAGTTGAGCACCATGAGGAAAGCTCGGTTAAGCCCGTCAAGCTCTCTGAGGTAAGAGAAGACACTGGCATCAGAGTGGATGTAGCAGAACCACCCACGGTGAAGGGGGAGCTCTGACTGACGCAATGTGTTCAGGAAACGGTACTGAGCCAGAACAGAACCTTCATCTTTCTTCTGGACCTAGGAGAGAAAGAGTGGCAAGAGGATACGTGATGTAAAATAAGACAAACACAAACAAGCTCTGGCCAGATGTTCCTCCTGAGTTGAACAGTACTAAAATAGTTCTGTACCTCCACATTGACACTTTTGTAATCAGGGTGTACAGGTAACCAGGTGATGTTGGTTTTGTTGTTGAAGCCTGCATTGATGTCATCATTCCACTGCATTGGAGATCGCTGAGGGTCCCGACTGGCGCTCTGTAGTGAAAGGACAAGAATCATTTGGCCATTCAGCTTCAATGAATATGCATTGACACATTTTAATGTATGTACATTCAGTTGCCAGTTTATTGGGTACATCAAGATAAAACTGATGCAGCCTAAAATAAAAGAAACTGACAATAAATGCTACCTTCATGAAAGTATTCATGTCATTATTTTATTGTCTACACACATTTTGTACTGTTTTTCTCATTTTTTATGCACCCACTGCACTTGGCAGAGATGTTACAGTGTTTAAGGTTTATTTAAATGTTTGTTTTCAGTGTGTGCACAGTACTGACTGCATTGTATTTGCCAGCAGGATCCTGTATCTGACTGTCTGTGACATTAATGTTCTCCATGCCGATCTCCTCGCCATAGTAGGTGGTGGGCGTGCCTGGAAGGGTCAGCAGCAGCATGTTGATGACACGCATATAGCTCTGACCAGCACTGGAGGCAATGCGAGGCTTGTCATGGTTTCCAACCTGATAGCGGTGGTAAGAGAAACACAAGAGACAGTGGAGAGGTGAGTGAGACAAGAGGAAAGAAGAAGGCAGGGTGAAACGGATGGGTTGTGGGTTGGGGAATCAGTCCTGATTTTAAAGGAGCCCAGGAACAAATACATAAATGAGACTGTGGTGACTCACCACCCAGTTGGGCCATTGCCCCTTGGGCATGTTGGCCATCCAGAGGTGGACCAGATGTTGAACCCACAAGCCGCTGGTGTTTTGAGGAAGGTCCAGCAGGTAAAAGTTAAAAGGGAAGTCACTTTCTTTAACCTGCGGGGTGCCATAGTACATCATGGTCTTGTCCACCTCATGGTAATCATATGACTCCGTCACCATGAACCTGGAGTGCAGCAACAACTTATGTTGTGTATGATAACATGCAGACTGATCCTCAGCAAAGTTTGGCAGCTGATCCTTGTGAATTACACATGACATCTTCATCATGTGTAGTGGCGAAGTAAGTAGATTAGAATATTACCAGTCTCAATTATTATTAACATTACTCTGTGTAACAGTTGACATACCTGTATCTGCCAGGCTCACGGCTGTAGATATCCATCTCTGCCCTCCAGTCCCTCAGCAGGTCGTGCAACCCCAGCTGACTGGTGGTGTAGTCATGGTGAAGGTCCCACTCTGAAGTTACAGACTCCTGGAGGGGAAGGAATATGAAGAAATATGAGGTAATGTGGCTATTTTGGGATTTCTGGCCTGCTGGATGGCTAGCTTAAGACTTAAAGTCAGATTTTACATTTAGCTAACACAGGGGAGTAATGGTTCATTTATAGTAAAGATTCCTCCCTGAGATCATCAGCTCCGGTGCATTAGCAGAGCTCAACAGTATTTTCCCCCTGCCGACTGGGAGTTAGGAGAGCTTGGGTGTAAATGTATTCTTTGTCAGGCCAAATTACCGGGCGCAGTGACAGGCCAGGTAGTTGGAAAATAAGTGGAAACCAGATACAGAGCGTAGAGGCCATGTGATAAATATTTTTGGGGCTCAGTAATCCAGGAGTACTGTTATGCGAAAGGAATGTTAAAAAATGTTTTGTGCTAATTTTATTGATGCATTGTTGGTTGTAATAGTCTTAATAAAAAGGACAAGAAGACAGAATACAGTAAAAAGAGGCAGAAAATAATTATTACAATGTTATATCTATGGGGAAATTTGACATATGACCACAAAGACAAGTGCCAAGCACTTGGTTGATAATTTTGAGGGAACCAGCTCAGGACCTTGAAAGCTCTACTTACAGTGACCGACTGATACTAAAAATACCCAATATGTGTGTCTGTTTGTGTGGGCAAAACACAGGGACAGCACACTAACTCCGCTCAGAAAGGACCAGGCCATGAATCTATTCATGGACATTATTACTGAGGCAGCAGTGTTAACCACTGAGCTGATGTGCTGTCACATGAACAAACAATTCAGCCAACTGCCAGTAAAGTTGGTCTGGATTTAAAGCTACAATTGGCAGTAAACCACTAAAGCAATAATGATAACAGGGATAGTGGCTCAGTTAGGATTGGCTGAATAATATTCAAGGCTGTGGTAAAATTCTCAATATCCCAATAAAAACATACCTGTGACTCTTGTAAATGCATGAAAACCTCTGTGTAGTGCCTAACAATGACTTGTTTTGTTGTAACATCACTATAAAGCACAGCTTTGTGTGGCTTATTGCTTAAAAATTAGTAGTCGGTCAATTTGGGTGCTGCAGCAGTGAGTGTGCCTCAGTCAACAGTAAGTAGACGGTCTCAGTATTATAGTGTTATTCTGCAGTGGTAAGTAAATCCCAGTGACTTGCTAATCCACCAAAATATGCCTCTTTTCTACTAATCTTTCCTCTGTGAGAAATAACTTCAGTCTCCATGGAACAAAAAGTCTTTCTTAGTGAGCTTAACTCTGCGTGAATCATGAACTCTTTGAATTCCAAAAACAGTATTTTCACCAGAAGAGCACTGGATGACCTGACATTTAAACCAGAGATAAATGATGCATGATACATCATGTACAGTACAGACTCTCCCACTCAGCTGTTGATTATGTTTGTTCTACTAGCTACACTAGAAAGTACTGCTTCACTGGAGCTGCTTCTGCCCACAATGCTGCTTTTATCCCTCAGATTGTTAAAATTTGGACTCTGACATGTAACATGTTATATAATTCAATAAAGTAAAATCATAATAATTATATAACTGAGTGTTAGAGCAGAGATTGTTAACTAAACTGAACTTTGATACCCTGGGCTCGGGGAAAGAAGAGCTGCCAGGTGATGTGAGCAGTAGAAGTTATTGTCTGTGTAGTTTGCACTCTAAAAGAAATGTAGAAATACCTCACCGACTGAACAGACCTTCTGAATATTGTTTACCTTTATATTATTGAAAATCAAACATTCTCAACAAAGCAAATGAGGGGTAATGGTACACTTATGTACTGAAATGAAATTGGAGCCGTTTTATGTTCGGTAGCGGAGTGTTACACTTGGGAAGTTACACCTGGGATCCATTGGAGATTGATCCACCTCAACTGGCAGATCAGACGAACCGTACCATGTTTGGTGGTCATGTGGAGTCGATGCGAGGACAAAGGGCTGCTAGAACTAAGCCGGCAGACATTAGTGCCTGTCCCAACCAGTGCCCATTAGAACTGAAGAGGCAACACTCACTGGTGGTTTGTTTGGGTCCACCTGTGGTTCATCCCTCAAGTGTGCAGCCTCCAGGATGTGCTTCACTGCATCCATCCGAAACCCATCCACTCCTTTCCCCAGCCAGAAATGAATAATATCCTGAAATAAAATAATAAATATAAAGTCATTAAAATCAGTGTGTCTACAATATGACTCTGAGAATGTGGACTAGACTCTTCAGTGCTAAAGTGTTGTTTGATTGTTGTAAAATTGATGTATTTCCACTCATTTCAACAAGCCTCTCATTCAGCTACAACAAAGGACTATTGAGTATCAACATGCACAATATACACACAAGTAGAGTTTGCCATTCCTTCTGTTGTACTTTGTGCTGTGTGTAGCATCGGTTAAAAACACACAAGGGTTAACAGGCCTAAGTTAATGTGTAATCAGTTATAGCCATCACACATCACAGCTGTGGCACAGTGGAGAGGACAAAACAGATGAGGACAACAGTCACATAGATTTCAGTATGACATACAACACGTGAGTCAGCGAAAAACAAATGCTTTCAGAGATGAGTCAGTAGCAGAGGTAACGTATGTGAAGCATGTGAGAAAGAGCAGTGTGTGGTCATGTAATCTCACAATCATCTCTTGGCGGACGTGTGGGTTTCTGAAGTTCAGGTCTGGTTGCTCCTTGAGGAACTGGTGCAGGTAGCATTGTCCTCTAACTTCATCATAGGTCCATGAAGAGTTCCCAAACACACTCACCTGAGAGAAAGCAGAAGGGAAACGGAGGATTAGGAAGTGTAGTTATTAAGAAACTGCACATCTGAGGACTGGATTATTGAGTAGAACGTTTTTCAGCGTCTCTCCAGACTAATTATCCTTTTGTTAATTCCAATACTATCACACCTAGACAGTGCAAATGCATCAGCAGAGGTTGAATGAAAATTCACCCAAAGACCAAAGTGAAGAAAAAGAGCTCATCAGCAAATACCAACCCAATTATTAGGTCTTGGTGCAGTTTCATTGCAGTCTGCCCAGACGTAGTAATCCTTGTAGTGAGGATCTCTCATCCGGCTCAAGTTAAACCAGCGATGTCTGTCACTGGTATGATTGGGAATGAAATCCATGATCAGCTTCAAACCTGGTGGAAACAAAGATCAGTATTAGTCAAAGACATTCACTCTGCTAAACCCTTCTCCCATCACCCACCACCAAATATTTGCTGAAAGTACACACCTTTGTTGTGCATCTCAACCAGGAGCTCTTCAAAGTCGTGCATGGTTCCAAAGAGGGGGTCGATGGCCTGGAAATCTTCCACATCATAGCCAAAGTCCTTCATGGGAGAGCGGTAGAAAGGACTGATCCAAACTGACTTGATGTTCAGGTACTGGAAGTGATCCAACTGCTCCTGAATTCCTGCCAGTGCAGAGACACCACAGTGATGAATACTGGATAATGAAATACAGTCCCAATGATAACTTCAAAGACAAGAGAAAAATCTGTTTATACTCAACATTAGAGTTAACATGTATTTGAGTCATATGGTGATATAAATCCTACTAGAAGAAACAATGAGGAAAATGGATCTGAAAGTAAAAATCAGAGAGCTTTCCTTAAATAATAAAAAAGGAATTATGTAACATCATGCTATAAAATAGCACTATCATACCACTCAAATCAGAGTGTTAAACACACACTTTGCATAGTATTATTTCTACAAATCAATAGAAGTGGGAAACAAAGAACTTCTGAATTTAATATGTAATGAATTATCTTTCATAATGGGCCCATCTGGGGAGCCCTTTGGTGCTGGGCTGAACTAGGACCCTGAAGTGGAGAGGGGCCCTGTTGCATGTTGTCATAAAACATCTGGTATATTTTGTGTTAATAATCTGAATCTGCAAAGTAACTAGTAACTAAAGCCTTAAAGTATATGTAGTGGAGTAAAAGTAGAATATTTCCCTCCAAAGTGGAGTACAAGTATAAAGTTAAAATGGAATTTCTCTGGGAGAGTAAAAGTATCTCAAAATTGTACTTTAGTACAAAACGTCAGTAAATGCATTTACTCAGTATCAGTATTTTTTTTTTTTCTTGTTCTCCAACCTGAGCAGGTCTACTCAGCCACATAACAGGAAATACTATTATGTGCAGGATACTGGCAATAATATCAACAAAACAAATAGCAAATATATATGGTGGTTTAATGAAAAGGCTGTTTGACCTCCATTGTGTTCTGTATCAGATCACGCAGCATCTCACCTTTGAGGTCTCCGACCCCATCACCGTCCGAGTCCCTGAAGGACCGCGGGTAGATCTGATACACCGGGGAGATCTGCCACCAGCTCAGGCACCGCGGCGACAGCGCGATCACCGTGATGGTGAGCGCCACCAGCGCCAGGGTGCAGGCCACCGTCAGCCAGAACAGGATCTCTCGGGGCACTCGGTACCGGGCCTGAGAGGAGTACAGCAGCAACACCTCCTTCGGCATCCCGGCGTAAGGTTTGATCTGCGTGTATTCCTCGGCCGCGTCCGAGACCAGTGTCACCGCCGCGGAGTCCTGCTTCTCCGCGGGGTTGGCATTGATGCTTTCGGCCGCTGAACCGACACCTTCCACATCCTGAAACCCCAGGTTTCCGGTGCACTCCCCCAGCTCCAAAATACCGGTGCGCTTTGTGAAACTCATCTGATTTAGATTTTAGAGAAACTTGAAATCAAACCGTGTTTAGCTCTTCTTCACAAACACCGAGAGACTCAAAGAAGCAGCATCAGGTAATCCAACTGCTTTGAGAAGGTCATAGTACACACACACACACACTCTCTTTATCTCTCTCTCTCACACACACAAAAAGAGATACAGGGAAGGGGAGAGAGAGAGAGAGAGAGAGAGAGAGCAGTGCCACCTGAGGAATGTGGGAAAGTGGAGAGTTGGATGGGAAAGGTTAGAGATTAACATTTCTTGTTGCAGTGTGGTGGGAGAAGTATTCGTGCCCTTTACTTTACTTACACTTCTGTGCCACTTTCTGATTCATAAAGGGTTTCTTTAACAAATAATGGCTTTTTTCAAATGGTTGATACATAATTTAGGCTACTAAATTAACTTAGACATAGTTTGACAAGCTGTTGATCTGCATGCAAAACTTCAAATAATACAAATGTAGAGAGAATAAAGTAAATGAGAAATGTTGATGTAAGAGCTGCTTTTTTTATAGCATGGCTGTGCGTTTGTATTCAGTAATAATGTAGTTGTAAATATTAAACCATTAATAAAAGGTTTCACACTTTGTAATACATCACCAGGTTTGCAGTTATACATGTCAGTGTGACATTATTTTAGGTTTCTTAGTTTTATAGTGAACCATTAGCAAAACTTAGTCAACTGCAATTATAAACTTCCATCATGTCTGCAGTTGTAAATGTTACTGCAGTTTTGCTGTTTACAGAAGATAAGTGGTCAAACCGTCCACTGCAGGGGTCTCCCTGATGACAAGTAAAACTCTGGAGGAGAATCTTCCACAACCTGGCAACACAACTGCTGTTGTTGCTATTGGCTTATGATTGATCTATAAAGCATTAGTCGTTTTACCACCAGTATCTAAAGTAAAAGTACTCATAGCAGAATGGAGCCTTTTACAGTGTTACACTGTAATGTATTTACTCCAGTAAAAAAAACTGTAGTGAGCTGCAGTACATGACTAAATGAGACACAGTGAGCGCTGTGACTCTGTATCTACTCCATGTGCTTCACACTGTTGGGTCCAGAATGTAAAAAAAAAAAAAAAAAGACCACTACACAGTTTGATTTTCAATAAAAAAATAAAAAAAACTGTCTGGAATAAGCTAAAAGAACTACAGCAATGATGCAGGCACCTCCTGGTAAACGTCACACTGTGGCGTCACTGTGGTGGAGACTTCCTGCTGAGTATGATCCATTAAACAAAGAATTATCAAATCTAAATATACTAGTCTGAAGTGTTAAAATCAATCAATGTTGAAATCATTCATATCACAGTTCAGGGTCAGATACTGTACATAACTTCACAAAATCACACAGCTGTGACTTCAGAGGACAGCTGGGTTGTGCCCAGACTGATTGTTTTCCATTTCACTTCACAAAACCTTTTTTTAAATTCAAAAGCTTTCCTTTCCTTTCCTTAGTTACATTGTGACTTATTCTTGTATAAAAGGCTATGGGACAATGTACTTTTGAACATTTTGCACAGAGCACAGAGCACAAACTGACTCAAGATACAAATTTCCAATTGCGTTGTACTGAACAGTAAATGCTTACAAAAAGACACAAGCTGGCACTGACAAAAGCAAACTGTTTAAACTTAAATCCATCTTTTATTGATGTTTATATTCATGGTCTGTAACATCACAATAGCATACTGGGAAGTTAGTACAGGAAGAAGCGATGGTCAATGCCCTGGATGTCTCATAAACCTCACCTTCTTTTAGCCTTCTCAAGGGTGGAGGTGAGTGGTTCATACATCACTCTCAATTGCACACCAGCTTATCGTTACCTCATTCTGTCTAGAAAATACAGCATGTTTATAGGAGCCAGAAAGCACTGGAATAAATAAAAACAAGTTTGGAATTCATCATAGCCATCATACATCTGTCAGTTCTAACAGTATGTATATGAGGAGTGACCAGAGACAACAGAAAGAGGTGGCAGAGTACTAGGGTTCATCTGCATCCTACAAAAAGCTCACAAGAGGAATGTCATGTCTGTCTTGTGCCGTTTTGCCATTTTGTAGCCGTTTCCAAATCCTCGCCTCCCTACTGGCGTCCTCACAGTCACATTGACCCCGCCGGCCCCAAAATTAACAGACAGGTTCAGGAGACAATATGCTTTGTAAAACTCTCTTTGCTTAACATATCCTCAAATCAAAGCAACAAGCCAGGTTCAAATCATTCAGGCATCACCAAACCTGCAAAGTCTCCTTCAAAAAAAAAAGTAAAAAGTCCTTCCATGTGAGTCTTGATCGTTTTTCTGGATGTGGAATATAATATCAAGTTTTTTTTTGTTTTTTTTTTTTTGTTGTTGTAGTAGTTTGTTTTTTTCCCAAAAAAGGAAGCCAAGAGAGCTTGTTCTGCCATTAAATGACTGATGAGGAGAGAATGTGATGCTGCAGTGCTGCTCGTATTCAGTCCATGCAGTGGAATCAGTGTGAGTAATGAAGAATTACATTCAGAAAAATAAATGTTTCTCCCTCCTTCCCTCCCTTAACTCCTCTCCTAGCCCAGTGTCTGATATAGCTTAAACATAAACCTTAAACTGAGGGTTGTGTTCAGTGTGGTAAAATCTTATACAATGTTAAAGTCTGGAAATATGAGTTGTGAAATATAAGAGTCCACAATGGGAATGATTTCATTTCAGGAAGAATATCAAATCAGTAAAAAACATTTTTTTTTTTCCCTTTTTCTCTTTTTTTTCTTTTTTTTTTTTTAATGATCGGTTGGATTTCAGTCTAATTAAAAGAAAAATATCCTGCCATCTATTTTTTCTCTGGGTTGTACTTTTACCATCACCTTTCCTCTCTAACATTGCGTTCCACCACACTGAACATGCCCACGTTATCCCCACCCGCCCAGTACATCTCCCACTCACACACAAAATACACTCCTCCCTCAATCACAAAACATGCACAACTATAGAGATCCCACCCCTCCCACTCCCTCCACCACAAACAAAGAAGAAGAAAAAAAAAAAAAAAACAATCATCCCATTAAAACAACGCAACTGCAAAAGAACTACACATTCAAGTACCTATTGTCATATGGCACCAAGAGCAAGTGTACCACAAGAACATTAACCAGCCACCAAACTTTTTTAGGCCTATTCTCTTTCAATACTGCCACTCAAGAAAGCACAATGAATTTACCATTGAATGATTGAGAAAAAAAAACAAAAGTGTATATTACAGTTGTGTATATATTTTAAATGCATCTACAGAAAAGAGTACACAGTCAAAGTATGTGTATCCACTTTTGTCTATGCACACATTTGTTTCAAAAAGACAGGAAGAGGTTTTTTCTGACAAATATTTGCCTCTGAGGTTTCATCATTTTTTAGTGCTCGGGTAGACAGAAATGAGACGGACTCCTGGTCAATCCAAGAGTCAAACTAGCGCTTTCCCAGCAACCGCCCTGTGCCTTTGAGGCAAAGTCTATGAAGGTAACTGTGGACAAATTAAGGACAGCAACTTAAGGTCTGGGGGCCTATTCTCCTCTGTCCTGCAGTCACCCTCCTTTGCTTCATACAGTGAAGCACCAAAAACCTACTTCTCTCTCCCATTCTGCTGTACAAGATGTATTTCCTGCTCCCCTTGTTATTTCCTAATTCATCTGCAATAGGAGCCACAGCCACAGTACTCTGAAAAGCCATATATACCAAAAAACATTTAAAAAAAGAAAAAAAAAAAAGACGACAAATGATGGAATTTTTTCAATCAAAACAAAAAGGGCATCATTTTTTTGTTTGTTTTTTTTTTTTTCCTTACACAGGATATTTGAGAAACAGAAAAAGGCAAGTTGTAGCACAAGCAGGTTTGTGTGTCTACATGTGTTGAGAGAGAGAGGGAAGAAGAACGTGAGGCTGGAATCCCTTTATCCCAAACCCTGTCTTTGGAACGCTGCTGTGTGGGAACACTGTGTGTGCAACTTGGAATTTTTATGTTTTAGTTTGTTTGTTTGTTTGTTTAAAGACACACACACACACACACACACACACTCACACTCATGCACACACACTCATTAGGCCACAACGAATACCATGGCTGGGAATTAAGATGAAACAAACAAATCAAAATATATATCTATGTATATATATATTTATATATGAATTTAATATATATAATTTCTATCTTTCTATCTCCTAAACAGCAGGCTCAAAAGCTTATGTTTCTGGCCATGTCTGCCAATGCAAATGACAGCTGAGTCTCTTCTGTCATATGAAGAAACAGAGAAAGCGAAAAGAGAGAGAGACAGGCGAAAAGTGAGAAAACTGTTTGATAAAATCCTTTAAGAGACGAGAGGAAAGAAAGTGGGCAGGGATGTGCAAGAAGAGTCGTCACACTTGAGTTTAAACTGCTTTGTAATTCCTATCTGCAGCCAGGCACACCAGCCCATGTCCAGTTTTAGTCTGGACACAGTATGGAGGAGCCAAATTCTTTGCCAGACAGACCCGGTTCTCTCATGAGCGTTCCCCTTGTGTTCAGGTGTGCAGCCTCAGGCAGTGGAGCTCTCTGGTGGTGAATCTGAGGCTTTCATCCAAAGGTCTTTGGAAAGCGAGGACTTGGGAGTTCCATGAGGCTTCCTCCAGCGAGCCAGGTGCACGGGCAGGTTTAGTGTTGGGCCCTATTCGAGCACTAGTAATGCTCAGAAACCCAAGCTTGCCTGAACTGGACAGCGTAGCTTAAGGTGTGTGGAAATCACAGGCTTGTGTGGTCGATTGGCTACCAGTCAGGTGTAAGTAAAGTTCACACTTCAAAGAAATAATGCCAAAAAAATGCAGCCAACAAAGCACTAAAGTCCAATCAGTGTCTTGCAAACATCCGTGAGTGGCTGGTTTGGTCATGGCTGGCTGTTATGAGGTCCTCCTTCTCTCTCAGTTCTGAGCAAGGCACCATGGAACCCCAAAGTGTTCAGAGCAGGGCTGCTCCTGTGTCTCCGTCAATCCACAACAAAAACAACCACTACAAAGAAAGCAAGAAAACGAGGGGCAAGAGAAACTGTGCTTGTTTGCCTCTCCTATGTTGTATATACTGTATATGCAGTTCTCATTTCAGACCATTGATGCAGTTGTTCTCCCCTCCCCCCCATTTTGTTCTATAAAAAGAACCAACAAAATTTGTTTTGCAGTCCTCCATGTTGGGTGTGTTGTGTGTTTCTAAAACCAGGATTTCTGTTTTAATTGATCTCTCAGTGTGAGGAAAAAAATTTTTAAAAAATCCCAGAGGAAATTAAAAGGTGACTATGGATGTGATCTTGTGTGGAAAAGTGGTCCTGTTTTTTTTGGATCAGGCAGTTGTGCTGGACAGCTACCAGTGGTACTCCAAATCAGCTCCGCTCTGTAAGAGGAAAGCCACCAAGAGAAAGGGAAGAGACAATGAGAAGAGAAACAATGAAGAGGAAAGTAGAACATGGCAGGAAAGAGAGAGATGGAGGAAAAAGAGAATATATGGAAAACAAGAGAACAGAGGGAGAGCAGGGTGACAGAAAGGGGAGAAAAAAGTAGGCACACTGTTATCAAATATAGAAACACAATCTTTAGAGTAACATTCAATGATTTTGCTCCCCAACCAGCACTTCAAGGCGAGGTTTTCCTATAATCAACACAAGAAAATAACAAAATAAAGTTAAAAAAAAACAAAAAAACAGTTATAGCAGAGTAATCCTGGACACACTTTCAACCCCAGTGTATAGGTCCTTTCTGCAAAAATATGCCAACACAACAATTCCAAGGCCTTTGGTCTTATTGCAGGGAGTGACATAGAAACAGAGTCTGTTATATGCTTGCGTGCAGTTGAGGAAAGACTGAGTGAGACAGCGATGCATGCGTGTAGGGCCAGTGCATGCGTGTTTGTGTGCATGTGAGGTGAGAGAGGGGCTGACAGGACCAGAAACAACGACCATTCATCCTCATCGAACCTGGACAGTCATGTCTGCACACAGACGTCCATACACACACACGCCTTAAGCTCTAAATGGAGCTCAACATGCTAGAGAGTAGATCAGAGCAGGGAGTAGACACTGATGAAGGAGTGACAGGGGAATATGCGCAACAGGTCGCTACTTACATGCCTGTAAGAATGTGTGCCAGTGTGTGTAGGTGTGGTTGTATGTGTGTAGATGAGGGGTTGGAAGAAGGGAGGAGGGGTGTAACAGTTATATATGTGATATATAATCACTTACCAAATGAAACAGGAGGGCTGCGTTAATCAGAGGGTGAACACACAGTTAGACAAATCGATACATCCCTTATAAATGTGTATGTGTTCAGGTGCGTATTTTACCACACACCATTTGCTAAGTATAATTTGATTATTATTTTAGTTTGTTTATTTTTCCTCCCCACTTTAGGAGAGGGCAAAGCTTTGTTTTTGTAAGTTAAAGGTGCCATCAGTAATTATGTTCTAACGTTTCTGCACATAATATATTATACTATGTTGTTTTGCTAAATATGTTGCCCTGTCAGTTTACACAGGAGTAAAATAAATACTGCTGATGAAACTTTAAATGTGAGTTGTTTTTACTGCTAGTTGTAGTAGTGTAGCAACACCTCATCTGAGTCAGTTTGCACTCAGTGTAGACATGAATACTTGCCGGTGTAAAATTCAGTACATCTATCTATTGTTATTTAACACTGTTTTGACATGCTGCCTTGTTTTTTTCTTTTTTCTCTGATGCACCATAGCAGTAATAAAACAGGCGAGAATCTTAACATTTGTCATTGAAAACTAGTGGGGGGGGGGGTTATGGAGGAGCCCATCCCATATTTTACTAGTAGCACCTTTAATTTAAGAAAAACAATTTGCTGTTAACTGCTATATAATTATGTAACTTATGGTCCTCACCGGTTTAAAACTAACTTAAAATGATGAAAGTTAAATCTATTTAAAAGCCACTATGAGCAAAATTTGGAAATGTATGATGTTAGCACCCCCAGGGTGACACTGTGGCATACAGCAATGCACATCCTGTTATCTTGCCCCCTTCCCACGGGGATTAGACTAGCATCACAGACAGCACCTTATTTTCTACAAACAAAAACTTCATCACAAGAATCTGAAGGATGATATGGTCACATAGTGGCTTTAAGCAGAGAAGATAATATCCTTTTCATTTGGGTGTCGATATGTGCCTGTGCGCATAAGACAAATCATCACAGTAACTCTACGCCCTTACAGACAAGCCAAGACAAAACTGAGGTGAACGTCACCTCACCTCCAACACAAGCTACCGAACAAGAGACCGACCACACACACACACACACACATGCTGGACGTTATATAGTTGTGAGGACACTCTTTCACAGAATGCACTCCCTAGCCCCTCATACTAACATTAACCATTACAAATAAATACCTAACCCTAACCTAAGACTAATTCTAACCTGAACACAGACAGACACACAAGAGCACACCAGACATAACAGCAAATAAACAACTGCAGCTTTATAATGACACTGCAACGCTAATAATTCTTAAGAATATCACAGTGGCATCTCAGTGTGCCATTCTGTTAGTCACATCTGATCCATTAGAAGAGGAAAAAAAAAAAAAAATCCCATTCACACTCTCGTATATCCACTGCAACAACAGAAACAGGACCACGTGTCATTGGCTCCTTGTTTTATGCCATCATGTCAGAGAGTACATGTTTCTGTAAAAGTGGCCAGCAGTTGTCGACAACAAACATGGTTGCATGCGACAAAGTTAAACAACTAACTGCACTAGCGAAAGAACAGAAGCCATGTATTTGGGTCTCTAGAACATACTGAGCGTAGGGACAGACAGCAAAGAAGAGGATAATGTTGCAGCAATGGTTTAAAAATTGATTTTGGTACTCTGCTTCAAATTGGCAAAATGCTGACTACAGCCACCGTCCTCAATGAGGGTGCAAGCTACAAACCTTCCAGAGCCACTTTTCAAGCCTACACAATGTAAGTGTTTGAAATTTTTTCATTAGAGTAGTCCTTTCTGCAATCCATAGGCTTTTGTGTTGTGTGGTATTTGGCATAACCTACTGTCATTTTCTCTGGTTCAGATTTAGTTTAGTTTTTATCTACAGGTTGCGTGCATGGGTGTGTGTGAGTGTGCGTGTGGTCCAAGTCTGTACCTTGTATTCCCAATATTTCTAACAACACAAAGCTGAAAGATGCAAAGCTACATCTGACGTCCAGCAGGAAAAATATGCTTGTAATTTTATAAACCATGGAGTCAACCTCACAAAGGGGAACACTGTTCTAGTACCAGTGGCATATACTTGTTTGGGATTGTACTGCATATTACTTTGGTGTCTTATAAATGCAGACTGCTCCAGACAGTGTTAGCTTCAGAATCCTTTGAGGTAACTTTGTGTTAGGACAGAGAAAACAGAGAAGGAGAAGCAGAGACATAAACTAATAAAAGGATTCCTTGATGCACAGGGAGAGCCCCACTTGGAGATATATCAGCATGTAAATTTGAAGAGAATGCTTTCACCTGTGCAAACTGGATTTGGTAGAAGAGCAAAAATTCTCAGTTCTTTTGACAGAGCTGTGTTGCCATGCATGTATAACCCATCATGAGGGCTGGCAAGAAGGTGTGCATCATGCAGCGTTTAACATAATGGGAGGGTGTGATTTCTCACAGCCATCTCTGAAGTCAATTTTAATACTTCATCTGCTATAGTTTTGAGTGTGAAAATAAATACAATACACACAAATTCACCAGTCTGGTCCACCAGACGGGATGAATCAAGATAAGAGTAAGAACTTTTCAGACACCGCTGAAATTCAAATGTGAAGGATAAACTTAACAAAAAAAGACAGCTGATATCTCAAATGAGTTCTGTGGCCGCAAGACTTCAGCATAAGGTTTGTGTGTGAGTTGTATCATTCATCCATCACAGTATGTGTGACACTCACCCCATCTTCCTCCCTGTATGGGTTCAGACGGTTGTATACTGCTTCAATAACACTGCGTCTGCAGGAAGAATACAGATACAGAAATGTGATTAGGTCTCTTGAGCTGTTGAAGTCAAACTATCGATCAAAATAACAACAGAGGGCGTATTGTGAAAAACAAGGCACAGTGAGGTGTAGTTGTGAAAAAATGCAAATAAAGGCAGAGTATACACACACCAGATAACTGGATTTTTTTACATTATCAGTTTAACATTGTCTCTGGTCTGGACCGTTGATCGCTTTTTGAAGCTTCTGGTCAGCAGAGACATGCATGGTTTGCCAAGGTTTTACATTCTCCTTGCACTTTCATAGTTCTATTCCAGATGGACATGACTCCTGAGATGAAATAACACAGAACATATCTTTGAGGGCAGTGGTCCTTACTTGCTGGCAAGGCCTCCCCCTGGTGGCAGAGGGGGCATGCCGCTGTCAGTGGACAGGTTCCGCATCACTGTTACCAGGTCCGGAAACCCCTCCTCCCCCGGCCGAGACAACATCTCTAAAACAACACCAGAGAAATTGTTACACAAGTCAGTGTTAACAGCACTGCTGGTAGCCAAGAACAGCTGGGGAAAGATAGGAGAGGGTGAGGAGAACAGAGGAGAGAGACCAAAAATCTGACAAATGAAGGAGAAAGGAAGTGGAGATGGAAAGCATACAAGTGAATCTGTGGACATGAGAGCCTATCTCAGACAGAGAGGGGGAGGGAAATGGTGACAGAGAGAGGCCTGCAACTGAGATGAGAGTGGCATGAGGCCAGGTCAATGTTCAGCCAGAGCATTCCTCTCCCTCTTTCTCTTCTTCTCTCTCTCTGTTCCCCCTTTCTTTCTATCTCCCAGTATTAGACAGTACCTGAAGCCAAACATCTACTCGGCTTTACCCAAACAAAACTTTTGCTTAACTGCATTTTATCCTGCAATGTCAAAAGATTTTAATCCACTTTGGAGTGCTGATCAATCCATTCACCAAACATTAATTTACCGTATTCTACACATTATCTACCTCTTTGTTTTACCATATACATTACACAGTCTTACAGTGGATATTACAAACTATCCCCCATATACTAGACCCAGGTTTTTCTATTCTGTGGATCAAGACAATAGTGGCACCTTTTTTACCTAGTTTCAGAGTTTAAGAATACATTTGTTATTTGGCCAAAATCTGAAATCAGCCATGGTGTTAGGCAGACTAACAGTAGCAAGGGAAGGGAGCTGACATAACCAACAAAGACTAGAAAAGCTGCACTGTGTTTATCAGAAGGTCTCGTGCATCCTAAGGAAAAGAAATGGGATGTATCGAGAAAGAAAAGGACAGAAAGACAGGAGGAGAGCAGGGAATCCATCCAAACAAGACAGGGAATGTTTGAGCGAGAGAAGGGAGAGAAAGCTGTGTTTAGGGAGGGAAAGGGAGGAGAGGAGCAAACAGGGAATAAAGAGGCGAGATGCTTGCTGAAATGGAAAAGGAGGTCATGATGGTGTCATTCTTCTGCTGTGAGCCGGAGCTAACTTGGCTGGAGGTTAGACAATAGAGAGTGGCAGGGTCAGTCAGTGGAGAAAACACAGACAGATATGATACACTGTTTTCTGCTAGAGAAAGATCCTGTGTCTCCAAGAAAAACCTTTGCAGGGCGAAAGATAAAGACCTGTTTTTCCCCAAGTGCACCTTTTTTAATATTAATTGGGTTTATGGGTAATTTATTGAGATTATAAATAAGAAGGTAAACTCATAGCTGTTAGAAAAGCAAGCACCACATGACACTAACTCATGTGTTCCGCTCATTGTCAATTTTAATTTTTTTCATGACTAAAACAGTCATTTTGAGCCACTCAAAGGATCTGACTGTTTGACACCGTTTTCAGGAGAAACTAAATGAAGATTATGAAATTAAGCAACTAAAATTCATGATATTCAAGAACCTCATTTCACCTCGTTTGCTAATAAGTAAACGTTGTTTTGTTTTTTTTAATCCTTTCTCACCTTCCACTCGAGACTCCAGGTATTTGTTGAGCTCAGCGTCTTTCCTCACAGCTTCCTCTGATACTTTGGGAGCGCTGGGCAAACACACTAACACAACACTCATGTTATCCCGACTCCCCTAAGATGGACGGGAAGAGAGAGGAACGAAGAAAGATCAGGTAAGAGAGGGAGTTACTGTGTAGTGCTTAAAGAAACAGTGATGATTTCCTAAGCACAAGCATGTACTGCGACTCGCAACTGCAAGGCTGAGGCAGTGCTGATTACGGACAGCTAAATGTCAACATCAGGACATAAATATGCTAATCTAGATACAGTGCTGACGGAGAACTTCATGTATATTGAACATTTCTTCATCATACACTTCCCTTTGGAGCAGGGAATTCAAGTGGTCTTCTTGGTGGCACAATAATTCTAAAAAGTAATTTGTGGTAAACCGGTTTCTTGGAGGACTTGATTCTGCCAGATTCCACACATTTTAATCTCTATAAACCATTACCAAACAGAAGCTATCACAGCAAAAAACAAAAACAAAAGTCATGCAGAAAAAAATAAAAAAAATAAAAATGTGTACCCACCTTGTGCAGGCAGGTATCCACCACTTCATTGCAGACTCTTTCCAGGTCATCAGACACCTCAAGCCTAGATTTCACAAATTCGCACAGCTCCTCATTGGACATGACATCCCAGATGCCATCACACGCCAGAATCACAAACTGATCCTGTTCCGGGGCCCGAACCATCTCAAACACTTCTGGTTCAGGGCTAACCAGCTGCTCTGTGGGGCCCTTCCCATCCACACACTTGTAATCATAGTCCCCCAAGGCTCTTGATACGGCCAGTGACCCATTTACCCTCTGAATCATCACTGAGCCACCAGCATTCTGGATGCGCTCTCTCTCGCGTGGGTTGCAAGGCTTGTGGTCATGTGTGGCGAAGCACACGTGTGAATTGCGGTACAGAACAGCTCGAGAATCACCACAGTTAATGAAGAAGAAATGATCGGGTGACAGGAGGATTCCCACTGCTGTGGAACCACTACGGTCCATGCCATTTCGAAGGTCAGAGAAGCTGCGCATGTGCTCGTCAATCCTCAGGAAGCCTGTCCGGATCCCGGCTTTCACAGACTCTACTGTTGGAGGTACTGGTGCTGGAGGGTCACTGGTGGAACCATCTGAACCAGCCTGCAAGCCTTGTGTCCCCCTGGCCCCTAAGCTAGCACTGATTATGTGTTCCAGAAGATGCTTAGAGCAATAGGTGGCAACCCGCGAGCCAGCATGACCATCGTACACAGCAAAAAACGACCAGTCAGTCATACCAGGCGCAGGAAGTCCCAACACAGCTGTATGAGCATCTTCCATCTCCACCCGCCAGCCCTGCATGGAGCTCAGGCCGTAGCGCAGGCCATTGCCCTCACCATGCAAGTTGTGCTTCTCTGTCTTGGGTTTGTCCAGGAAAGCACCCATGGCTCTGCTCGAGTCCCACTGCTACCTGTGGGAAAGAAAAAAGAAGACAGACAGGAAAATGAAATGAAATTAAACAGTTCATTCACTGCAGACTTATACTGTACTGACACATTAACAGAATTGTGACTTTGACAAAAATACAAACTACGCCCTCATCTTTCCATTTTAAAAAGATGTTTAAAGCAAAAACAATCCAGGTAAATGTTTTAGCTCCATATGCATAATTCAAGCCAAAGGTTTGAAAGAATAAGTCCAAACGGACTTGGTTTTAAAACTGCACTCCACAGCTCTGGTGTGGGAACGTTTTGGTTTTAAGCCGAATGAGGGATGAGAGCCAGTGTTTCGCATACATAAGCTCTATTTTTTTGGCCTGCCCAGTTAGATAAAATCACTCAGTTTCAATCTAACGCCTTATTTCACACACTTTTCAAACTAACTCATTTTTGGATACACTCCTGTCTGAGTTGTGTGCACAGCAGTAACTGAGTGGAGACTAGAGGCTTCTCTGTGCACAGCTGCCTGGCCTGCACAGTTGCACTCTCTGCACGAGTCTCTGCATGCACATTGGTCATACAAAGCACCAACCAAAAACCACAAGTAAATTCTCAACCTGTGGGAAACAGGCCCATTAATGCAAACAAGTCAGTATGTCATATATATATAGGTTTCATTTTCAGGTTGTTGAATGAGACTGGTAACATAAATCAGGCTTCCATTCGAAATTGTGGTGGGGTTAGGGTTAGATTACAGATCTCAACTGAATCTCTGAGGGTCTGAAAATCTGAACCTTTCAAATATCCCACAGATTTGTAAGGAGTTGAACTTGGACTGCTGGAGTTAGGCATGTGTGTGTTTCTTTTACTGTTTACTTAATAGGCCTAAAGGAATAATTCAACCAAACAGAGATCATTGCTCATCATATCCAGAAATAACACAGCAGCTTTGGTTTATGCTTAAAGAGACTGAGGAGCAAGCTTAAAAGCTTGTTTGGCCAGCCAGAACTTTCTACTAGGAGCATTAACAAACTCCACGGAGTGGTCGAGAGAATGTGTTATCTGTCCATAACTGCACCTACATTAGCTAAATGAACAGCAGCATCAGGCTGCTTGACAGCAGAGAGAAATTCTGTATCCAGCCTATGTTATTTGGTTACGTAATGTAAGAACATCATCTTATACAGTTTTATTGATTGTCTAACTACTTAATGGCCTCTTAGCCTTGGAAATTGCCTTGTTAACTTGTACCTTTTTTCTGAAAATATCAATAACTACTACTTACAGATAAGTTGTAGGCATACTCAAGGTTCCAGTCTCTTAATGTACATGTGGTTAAAGCTAAATGTTATATCTATATACAGTATATATGCTATATCTTTTTTAAACATAACAACTGCCCGGTTTCCCATCTCATATTTCTGTTAGTCCATGATTCAAGGTCAAAAGTAAAAAGGTAAAAAAAATGAAACAAAAAATTACAACCTAGTAAATGATGAGAGGGAGTCAGTTACTTGAGGTGAAAAAAGTCACCCCTACCGACATAGGAAATGTTGAGGCTGCCCTTTTTAGACATCTGTCTCATATTTGACAGAACAGATAAACTTCAATCTTAACTAATACCACTGTCTACGTTGCCCACGTGACAGCTTGCACTTCACTCACATTTCACATGTATAATTGCAACTGTAAAGGTCTTCAGACATTTGCGTGCAAGTACATTATCCTGTACTGGGCTGTGAGCACTGTAAAATCCCTTGTAAAGAGAACAGCAGCGCTGTGGGTTAACGGATCCAGTGTAAGAGGTTTGAGGCTCTTCCTGTTGTGCTGCTGATGTGCTGCTTTAGCTACACAGCTGGTGTAGACAAAGCATACAAGTCAAGTCCCAAATACATGACCTGACATTTGATAATGCTTTCAAATAAATTAACTTAGACTTGAGAGAAGCTGAAGTGAAAGGACATGAACTTTATTGAAATTACCTAGGGAGTATACATTTTAACTTTTCCTGTTATTACATGTACATAACAAAGCTTTTTCCTCCAGTCATGTTTGTAGTTGACACATTATTAGTTTCCATTAGTGTGTGATGCACACAAAGCAAGCCTGTGACAGGAGACTAACCAAAACAGTTGTCCACGAGAACCAGATGTCTAGGACTGCAGGGCAGTAATTGATACACAATACAGTATCTAGCTTAATCATATCAAAAGACCGCACATGCTATTTATTTTGAGTACATTTACTCTTAGAGACACCTGTAGCATTACCCACAACAGAGATGGTTTTGGCAACTGGTTGTGTGTGTGTGCGCGTCTGTTTAAAGGTTTTCGTCAACTTGATAGTGTCACAACTGTGCAAGATGCAGTCATGAAACTTTACAGCTCTGTAGTTCAGATAAAAAAAAAAGGTTAGGAAATTTGAGTGATCTGACCCATAACTACTGACTACTCGTCAGAACATTAACATGTTGATGGGCATCACAGCTGGTGTGATCCTATCACAAGACGGTCTTTAGTTGAACATAATGAGGCTAATACAAACTCTTTGTAAAATGGCAAAAATTTATCTGGAGGTTGCTTCAGACCAATTCAGCAGAGCATATCAAATATGAATACTTTCCCCAAAGATTTAAAAAATGTCAGTCACTAGATAACTATCGTATCATCACTTGGAAAACTGCCTGTGCAAAAATCCATTTTGTTCACTCTACTGTAGCAACAAAATCTCAAAGAAGATAATACAATAACAACAATAATAATAATAATCATCCCTATTCATTTTGATGAGATACAAAAGGATGTGCTTTATTTTGCACATCAGCAGACAAACACACACACACACACAGGCACACTTGTCGACTGATCACATATCAAAGGGTTGAGAAGCATCACTAGTCCAAACCACTTGAATTATTACCTTGACAACAAATACATTCACACACGCATTCAAATTATTGAGAGAATATCAAAGCCATGTACGCAATCACCAAACCAAATGATCTGCTCTTTCACCTGTGCAGCAATCACACACTGCACCGTTGCGCACTATTTTAAGGCTCATAATAAGTCATCAACAACACACAGCTACAATAAGCACCATACCCTGATGGTGTTGCATCAAAAAATAAATAACATACATAACTAAGCAGTGATGTAAGCTCTGAGAACTTTGGGGAGTGATATCACCCAGAGTCTGATGTCTCCATGGTTACACAGCTTGGAGTGGCAGCTGAGTGGTTGCCATGGCAACAGAAGCAGTAAGATACTGGTGGTTACAGCATGCGACAAGAGGGCTGCACAGCCATGCAGCTGTGTGTGTAGATGTGTTTGCGTACATTTGTGTGGCCATTTTTATGGTGTGCACATGGGGGTTGGATTAGGTTTCAACAAAAGGTGGCAAAACCAACCCCGCTCTGATTTACTCATTCACAAATCACAACTGTTTCTCTCACATCTTACACGGCACACATGGCAAGATGGAGTGAATGGTTGATGCTCTTTGAGAGCCAAAGTTGAAAGCTGGCAAACAGAGAGGCCCACAACACCCACAGGTCTGAGACTTCAGACAAGCAGGGCAGCTTTAACATGCTAACTCAATTTAACAGTCAGCTGCTGATGGGATACACGCAGAGCCAGATTAGCTTGTCAAACATGGACTACACACAACAGGAAACTACCACTCTCTCTGTCCTGACTTTTGTTTGGTGACATTGAGTGCAGAACATGTAATAGAAAAGCATACATATACATTTCACATCAGCATCATGACAGTACAGTTGTATTGTATTTGGTGGGGAAACAACACGTGACAGGTGTGTTTGAATGAATTAACAACAATCGGATCACAATGCAATGACTCAACATGATACCTTGTGAACAGGCTACTAGGAAATGCAGCATGGTGTTTATAGATGCTGCTCCTGAGTTAAAATTCTCAGCAATCTATTACTAATCTGTAGTAATCAGTCAGGGCCCAGTAGTCAAACTGGCTGGCTCATTTTGGAGTTTAGCAGCGAGTATGGCTGAATGTAACTTGTGCCCTTTATGAAAAACAGTGCTCTGTCTAAATCATCCACTATGCAATGTGTCTGTCTATAGTGTTGCATGAATGTCTAGTCAGAATTATTAAATCCAGTGAAGTGGACTCAAATTACCCCACAATGCAAGGCAATAAGTAGTACCAAATCAATGGTCACCAACTCAGGAGTTAACTGGATAAATGGAATGACTGGAGCAGTTTTTTTCTTATCTGACACACAATATTCTCCACTACAAAGAATTCCCTATATAGTTAGCAGTAGTGAATAAGTGAACAATTTAGTTAGTAAACTACTGAGTGATTCTATCAGTACTCAGTTGACAATGAAGGGAGCTTCATGCAGCTGAAAATTTTCCTCAGTGCTAAAAACAAATAATTGAATGATAAAAAAATCAGTGACTCCATTCAAAGTGATTCAGTTCCACTTTGCAGTTTACATCTTTAGTTAAAAAAGCCAATACTGAGAGTAGGGGGTAAATTTTAAAATGATCAGTTTCTACTAATGTGCTTATATTGCCATTTATGCAGAGGATCATGTTTCCATTGAGTAAATGTCCATTATCCACATCCATATTTGAAAGAGTAAAAAACTAAAAAGGTATCTGGAACAGCTGGTGTAATGCACTATCCTCAGTTATGATAAAGACTGTAGCTAAAATGGAATCAGTTTTACCCCTCAGTGAGGCTTTCTGACTTTTTTACAAATTAGAGGAGGTGGAACACACAGGCGGAGGATATCTCAGATCCCCCTCTTTGATGACTCATCATTGAAGCCGCATCAGAAGCAGTCAATTTCCCGGAACAAGTGCTCTTTGAACAGACAGCTTCAGCCATCTTCAGAGCAGTGGCGTCAGGGAAGCTAGGGCCGTCACTTGTCCAGACTGGAGTCCATCAGAATATAGCCAAAGAGGAGGTAAATGCGTCATGTTATACCGGACTGTGAGTGGGTTCCCAGCAACAAGAAGAGTATGTGTACTTGTATATACCTGCTTTCTCTATCTAGAAACCTGGCCTGCTTTCAATTTGACTCCCAGGCCTAAAAAGTTGAGAAACAGTGAGATGCAGTGGTGCGGAGGAAGGCATGGGGATGAAGAGCATGTCATTGTATGGGTTCATTTACCATGTACTCAATGGTTTATAAGTAATCTATTCCTATAAGTCATACTGTTTTAACATATGTTTTCATATTAACACAGAGGGATAAAATGTATTCAGATGGTTCAAAGAAACTGCTTTAATCTCAGCCACACTTAAGCAGTTAAAGCAGTCCAGATTCTTATATTCGGCTGAAATCACTGATAGAGTCACACTCAAAATGTACGTTTATCTTGATCACAAATGTCCTTATCTAAGTGGATAATAATAACCCTTTGGTAAGAAAGTTTGTGAGCATAACTTTAATGCAACAAAGAAAACATGATAAAAGGCTACAAAAAGATTTTGTAAATTACATTATCATGGATAATTATACTCCTGATTTCATGTACTGGTATCATTTAGATCACCAGTATAAACAGGGAAAGTTTATGCTGGCTAATTCTAAAAATGAAAACAGTGTTATCAAAAAGTTCATCTGAAAGTCCAGTCTTTTCTTGTTCAGACATATGCACAGTTAATCCATCTCTCCCTCTTGGCACTTGACAAACTTATTTATCAGTTATTTTGAGCTTGCCAGTTAACACCATATCTGAGCATACATCTGTGTGTGACGTGATTCAGTCAAGAGCCACAAGCCAAAAGTGTATAGATAAATGTCTTTGGACAGGCCGATATGCTCACAGCAGTCATTGGCTAAAACAGCATGGCTAGTGCAGGATTTCACATCAAGGTGCCAACACAAACATGCCACTGATGATGCTGCCATTTCTGGAACACACCGTCACACAAATACACTGCAAAACACACAGCCACGCGCGCACACACACACACACACACACACACACCAACAACAACCCAATAAAACTAACCACAACAAGCCAATAAAACAACTTAATTACCATACTGGTGTTTCACTGGATCCAAATACAAACCACGAAGAAGCTTAGTTATTAATTACATTAGACCTTGCTATGTACATTGACAGCAAATATTGGAATAATAATTTCAATTTACACCACAGGAACTGGCAAAAAGTAAATTGTTCTCCTGCCCCTGTATTCAATCCAGACACCAGAATAAACTAAAAAAAAACAGCTCCACATGTGAGTCGCACCTGTTGCAAATATTCATGTGGTATTTAGAAAATAGAGAGACAACTTACCAACAGTCAATCACGTTTCACTGTGGCATGCATTGATACGTGCCATTATTAGCAAATAAACCTATAATTCCTGACCATCATAAAATCAAAACAAGAACGTATTTAGACATAATGTGAAGGGTGCAAATCTGTTACATCACATGAATAGACTTATGAACATCATTCACCAAATGTTGCCATGCCATTCGCTCATTATGCCACTTAATTCTTTTAATTATAAAGTGACGAGTTAATTCTACTGATATATTAGAAAATTGTCAAGCAAAGTACGAGATTAACAACTAACAGTCACTTAACAAAATGGGACCCCGGTGTGTTAATAACTGCCGCAACATCAGCAGGGCCGTTGATATCATTATCAGCACCATCAACACCAAGATACGTACTAATATACTTTTATCGTTATGATCCATAATTCACGTTCAACTAGTTCGGAGTCGAATGAAAATAAGGCCACTTATGTTGGCAGCTAAGCAGCTAGCGAAGTTAACAGTTGTCAAAGTGTTATCTACACGTTAGCGGGTGACTAGCTTATGTTAATATATTTACTAGAAACTTTGCTGAATCCCAGTATCAGGCGTTACTTACTTTGTAGGATAGGAAGTATCTCTTTCAGTCCTTCTTCTTGTGGCTTCAGGATCAGGTATGTTTAAGTGTCCAGGCTTTTTGTGATAGGCTTAACTCCCGTTAATGTTAGCCACTTTCGTTCCTCGGCCCCTGCTCGTCAGCTAGCTTTGATTAAGCTAGCCAGCATTTCACACGGTCAGTTCTCCTTTCAGCATGTCTCTGCATCGGAACAAGGCTTTTATATACATGTTTGGCACTGCACACCCAGGGAGCACCAAATAAATAATAGTCACGTAGGCTGCCGGTTGAAAAGAAAAACACTCGTTTTGCACGCCTAGCTAATCTTGGCTAAAGCTAAATGTATGAGGCAGATGACGTTCTTTTTCAACATCCAGTTTGGGGGAGAGGCCATCCTTTCGCTCTGTTCTGTGATTGGACAGACGGTGATCCGAAGCCGAGACATGATTGGTCAAATAATCAGTCAGTCAGACTTCAATTCTGAGAGACTGTAAACAATAAAAATCAAGTTGTTTGAATGGTGTTTGTCTTTTATGTACACACATACCCATTAGTGTGTGAGTAGTATTTCACTGATGCTCAGAGTCGAGCTCGTCTTAAGTAATTGAGGTATAGTTATCTAGTTTAGTCCAGTGGCTCCCGCCCACAGGTGAGCAGCCTCCAAAAGGTCATCAAAGGGGTTATGAGATGATCAGATGCAAGTCATTTTTTGGGAATTTTCTATTATCTTGTGTTGTTGTTATGTTATGTTGTATTTTATGAACTTATTATATTTTTCTTAATGTAAAATCTTTGAAGTTCTTAATGTTAAAATTTGAATCTGAAAAGTAACTAGAGGCTAAAAGGGTTAGGGTTAGGGTTTCCCCCTGAAATTTAGTGGGATCCAAGTATAAAGTGGCATAAAATAGAACTTCTAAAGTACAGTACAAGTACCTTAAGTACAATACTTGAAACTGCATCCTATTTAGCTTCTGCCAGTTCATTGCCATTGTAACTCTTAGATGAAACAGATTACTCAGGGCAGACTATGAAACACTGGAGGGATATACTATTTTATCTATTTATATGACTACACATTTCTTCTGATGCTCAAATGGATCTTCATCTCTCCATCTTCATGGACATGATTCACTGTAATCATAAGTTCTACTCCTTGCTCAGGTGGTATTATGATGCCTAGTGTGCTCCTGTGTGGCTCACAGTCGAGCAAGTTTTCCCCACAAAATCATTATTCTTTATTTCTTGTTCAATAGAGAAACAGCAACGTTCTGCTGGTTGCAACTGAACATATCTTCTCTGCCTTATAACAGAGGAATTACTGGGGCAGAAAGGTATGTCAAGCTTTCACTGCAGTGGGATTACTTTGTTTGGATTTTGTGTTGCAATAAATTTTATATGTATTTTCAAGTCAAAAGACAACAAACCACTCATTTTAATGTCCTTCTTCTGTATATAATATGCTAAGCATGATATCATCATGTTGGTGCCTGTGTGTCTGTGCGTTTATAAATTGTTCAAAACATTTATACCATTAATAATGTATGCGATCATTTAGTGAGTATGTATGAGCGCTCAATATCAAAAATGTTAATTTAGTAAAGTTTATTTATATAGCACCTTTCACAGATACTCTATGAGTCACAAAGTGTTTTACAGAGCCATAAACAGTTCAAATCAGGATTGCATATGCTCATACAGTATCCAGTAAAATACATAAGAAGCAGACCTGATACGCACAGATTACCCAAAAGCCTGTTTAAACAGATAAGTTGTTAGCTGCTTTCTGAATGACTCCACAGAATCAGCAAACATTAGAGGTGCAGGTAGAGCATTCCACAACTTAGGTGCCATGGCCACAAAAGCTCAATCACATATCTTCAAAGGGGTGCATGGGACAGATAGTAAATTTAACTTACTTGAACGAAAGAGTGAGCTGATGAGTAAGGGTGGAGTAGATCAGTTAAATATTCAGGGGCTTGATGGTGGAGTGCTCTGCACGTAAGAATGAGAATTTTGAACTGAATTCTGTATGTAACAGGGAGTAAGTGAAGGGAAGTGAGTATGCGTGTAATATGAGACCATCTATTTGACCTATTAAGAAGTCTGGGGGTGGCATTCTGCATTGCTTACAGACGATCCAGGGTAGATTTACAAAGAAAGGAGAAAAGTGTATTACAGTAATCAATACTTGAAGAAATAAAAGCACGTATGAGCATTTCTAATTCTGAATTTGAAACTATAAATCTCATTTTACTGATGTTTCTTAGGTGGGAAAAACAAGATCTGGTCAACTTCTTAACACGGGTTGGTGAAATTATAACCCCTAAATGACATAGGTAAGAGTGGGAAGCTGAGGAAAGAAGCCCTATACTTTGCTTGATCATGAGAACAATCTTTTCTGGATCACTAATCAAAACCTCCGTCTTGTCAGTGTTGAGCTGTCAGGAGTTTTCAACCGTCCAATCCCTGATTGTTGTGTAACAGTCTAGGACCTTGGTTAACCTAAAAGCCGCACTAGGCTTGAATGAGAAATGGAATTGGAAGTCGTCTGCAAATAAAGAATGTGCAATATTGAATCTACTTACAGTCTCACCCAAGGGCAGCAAATATAGAAAGATAAATACGAGAATAACAGAGGACCCAGAACTGAACCCTGTGAGACCCCACAAGACAGCAGAGAGGAGGAAGTTTTACTTCTACTGGTTTAGGAAGTTTTTTTTCTATGCAAAAATTTTATTTATCACTTATTATCAGTATTCAGTGTTCACATCACATTGTTTATTATCATTATTATTATTGTAGTAGTAGTAGTACTCAAGCAATACACCATATCATATATTGTCAAGCAGTACATGACATGGTGTATTATACAACGCTGATAAATTTAAGTATAATTGATTAGGAAACATGAGGAGATGGGAATTTGATATGATACTAAAATTACGTTATGGGAATCATTGAAAAAGTGGTGATGTAAATTGTTGTTTTACATACTACAATATACAGTGTTATGAGAGTCCTTCTCCACTGCAGTATGTGTGCTTGATAGCTCCAGCAGTAAGACAGAGCCCAGCTGTGGCTTGCAGACCAGGACTAAATGAATGTTTTTCTAAAGAGGGGAAGTCTTGAGGGGCATATGACTTAATATCTGCAAGCCGTAAACTATGTTATATATACAGTATAGTATTATTTATTGCTTGCTTCTATTTGTACTATGTAGGCTTAACTGAGAAGTAACATTGCCCGGCCCTCGTTCCAGGACACATCCTGTAACTGCCTGTCTACTGAATGATTGCAGAGTGAAAAATTAACCACCCTCTTTCCCTCGGCTTAGTTATGGAATCCAAACCTACTAAAATAATATTATTCCTAGTTTTCCACATGTGGACCTCAGTGAATTCAGTATTCACTTCTTTTCAGAATGACACTCTAAGATGCAGATTTTCAGGTGAGCAACACTTATATGCATCGTCATTCATGTGCTCCATATAATGGCTTAATTTACTGATGATTTGAAAATTCCTGCATACGACACTTGTTTATTTGTCCCCTAGACATCATATAAATAAGTTAGACAGGCATATAGACAGGGTTTTTGTTGAAGGAAACTGTGTAAAATACTAAATAGAGGGTTTTTATTTATAATTTTTTTCAGACACATCAGCACAAGTTAGCAATATAAACATTGAGTTAAGTACTACTTATTTGTATATTATATGTGAAGGAGACACAAACAGCTAGCCTTGGCCTTCGCTGCTTTTTCTCTGCTTATATGAAATCACTCCATGTCTGATTCTCTCTGCAGAGTGCTGCAATCACGCCTTGCCTTGCCCTCCACTCTTCAAACACAAGAGCACTTGAAAAGCTGATTTCCTGCTCCTCAGAGGGAGCAGGTTTCTTTTGTCAACTGAGGAGCCAGGTCAAAACAATAATTGTTGGCAAATCGTGCCTGAAAATATACAACGCTAATTTGATTTACATGTCATTTTCATAAGTCTGCTCTCCAAGCCTCCTTAACAGCTCGCAGTGTTATGTTAGGGCTTTGTCGAATGTTTATTAGGGCAAATCAATTTCATTTCCCTGGTATAGTGTATTGAGTGTATGTGTTGTTTGTGTCTGTGAGAGGGAGAAGAAAAAGAAAATGTACACTTACACATACATATATTAACGCATGTTATGTGAGGGGGCAAGCTGCTCCCCCTGCTTAATGGGATTAGAGTCATTAACCAACTGTTTAATAAATGGGAGAGGACCTCTCTCTCCTGCTTTGTCTCCAACTCTCTCCTTTTGTCTCTCACTCTCTCTCTCTGCCTCACTCTCTACCATTTCTCTCTCTCCTTCTCTCTCTCTCTGTCTCTGATCCCTAATCAGTGAGACAGCCTAGAAGTGCCTTGGGGCTGAATACGAATGAGCACAGCTGCCCAATGCGGATTACTACCACACAGGCTTGTGCTCAATGTAAAAATTCACACACACACACACACACACACACACACACACATATATACAGAGAAAACAGTGCATGTAAACATAGTAGGCAATGTGTGGACATATGTCATTCACATGCATGCCCAACACTTGCTGACACATGTATTTTATGAGCATATGTCATAGTATGATTATATCTCTCACATGTACACACACACACACATGCACAGAAAGCCACGCACAAACTGTTCTGATCACACGCCTGTAACGTCCAGTAGCAGACATATGCTGAGACACACCCACCACTTTTAGTGTGTCACAGTAACATGTGTGTATATGGCCTGTATATTAATGTCAGGGGGGCATGTGCTGCAGCCATATGTTGCCAGACATCAGCATGTGACACTGTGGGACCAGATCTACTTTGAAAAAACAAATGAGATGATTGTCATCATGGTGAAAGTTGATAAACAGTACTGGACATGATAATGTACTACTGTAATAATCTCAGGTTGTGTATACTGTGCGTCTCTGCATTTTCATGTAATTCACAAATATTTTTATATTTATAATAATGAACTATTCCTCCTTTATTTTACTCTTGTGATAATGTTGGCCTTGTTGTCTCTCAGTCTATGATATATTTGAACTCAAACACTAGTTACACTACAATAGGAGCTGAAGTTGAGGATTTTAATCTTTGAGCCAGAAGCTGCAATATACAACCACTGTCATTATGCCTTGATCAAAGATATCTCAACAGTAGGTAAAGAAGGAACATCAATCTATTTCCCTTCCCAGATTTATCCTGATAGTCTAGAATTGAACCAATAAACTTGCAGCACCAGTCTGCCTCTGTAAACTTCAGGCTGCAGTGGCTTAAAGACCTACCAGGATACAGAATCCCATGCAGTGCAGTAA